TTCGTGTCTTGACAGAACAAAGTTATGTGGAACTAGTAGCTGCTGATGTCCTAGTTTCTTTTAAATGAATTAGCATTAGCATTTCACAATATTTACATGCAAGTGCCATTTAATAGATGAACTTTTACTGGGGAATATTTTTGAATTCATATCAGTTTAATAAGAAAAGCCAGCATCTCTAAAAGGTCCCTTGCCTGTATGCCTGGAGTTGATATGCTTGTAAAACAAGGTGTTTGGCATTCCTGATTACTTGTTCTCTGACTGATTAATCAAATCTTCTTCCTAGCTCCTACTTGGCGATCGCCTTTTGAATAGTCTCCTTTCTTTGTGCAGGACAGCTTCACTGAATTCACACCAGCAGGCCTGCAAACAAAGGCTCCTTTGTCATTTAGAAAATGCCGCAAGTCAGTGTCTTGTAGTTCCCTGTAAGCAGCAGCAAAGCAGTGATGATACTCTGAAAGCTGCATTAAGCTAGGACCTCAATTTATATACATTGGCATAACCCCTGGCATGAATGACTGGTGCCTCCAGCGACTAGGGGGCACCACGGCAGCAGTGAGGACTGTCTGCAGCTGCCGTTGGCCACATCAGCAGCAAGGGTCGGGCGTGGGTATGGGCGGCGACCGCCTGCAGAAGCTGCCGGCAGCTTCAGTGGCCGCCAATCTCGTAGGGGGGGCACGTGCCCCTCTGTGTCCCCCCATGCATTGCCTATGACCCCTGGCTTCAAGCAACTTGGGTGCTAGATGGTGGAGGAAGACGAAAACCACCAGGAGGCAAATGAGAGATGACCAAGAGATGGGCTAGCAAGGCATACCGATTCAGAGGCCCAAACAATATTAAAAATGGAATTTGACAATTAAATATTTGGAGATAGAAGCTTAGCTGATGTAAGCTGCTTAAAATCAACAGATCTAGATCTTTTTCTACCAACTGAGGACCTTGCATTTGTTTACTAGAGTGGGAGAAAGACAAGCTCACTTTGTTATTGGTCTCTTTGCTTTGGACATCAGTTCTTATTCACTTTATTAATCAAGTCTTTGTTTAATAAAAAAATCAAACAAACAAGGTGGGAAGGAGATAGATCATTTTGTCTCATCAAATAGACACTCTCTCTCTCTCTCTCTCTCTTTTGTATATTCCTACACAAAGAATGTTGCTAACGTATGGTTATTAAGGTTTCCTAAATGAATTAAGGAAGAGAATCATTAAACATCAAGAATAGTAACAGTTAAGGCCAACAGAATCCAAGCCAAACTCAATTCACATCCCTTTAACACCCAAACTTCAAAACTCCAAATACAGCCTGTGCTAGCTTTCATAAATCAGGTCAGGATACATACAGGAAGCTTCTCAGTTTCACTCGGATACAGCCCTGACTCTGACCTCACACAAATTAATGTGTCTTATTGACAGACATGACTTTCTTTTCCCTGCAGGACTGTCCTATTGCTTCCTAAAAATTTGAGGTTGCACATAAATTGAATCATTTTGAAGGTGGCGGGGGGGGGAAGTAGGGAGCGGGGCTCGGCTATTTTGTTTTATCCAGGAAAAATGGGGTTTTGTTGAAAACCGTGTTTATTACAAAATTTTAAATTTTGAAAAAATATTCAGGTTTGCACCCAGAATTTTTTTAATGAACCTGTGTGTGTACAGGATGTTTTCTTGACATAATTATCAGTGTTTTGCAGGGAAAAAAATCATTTGTTGTCCAACTCAACAACATGGGTGTGCTTTTGAGAGTTTTGGAATACAATAGGTGCGTACTTCAGTTCATCACTGTCAGCATCGTAAACCAGTTCTGGTTTTGAAATTTTATTTAGCAATTTCCATTCTCTAGTATAAATGAAAATTGCTAGAACAAGTAAAGCTACTAATTGTGATAATTATTCTTGAGAAGCAAAAACCTAGCCTGTGTCTGACTATTAGAAGTAAGCCATATGGCAGCTGAAGAGATTTTTCGAAAAAAAACCAACAAGTCTAACTTGCCTAGCAGGGAT